TTGATATAAATTAGAAATCATACTTGAATCTTACGTAATTATTAATTCTATCTGATGTTATGGGAAACAAATCATCAAGAATTATAACAAAATGATAAGGAATTTTAAAATTTAAATTTTAAATGAGACATGTTTTTACTTGAATTCTATGCAATTATTATTTTGTCCGATTTTATGGCAAACAATTCATTCAAGATTTTAATGTAACAAAATGATAAGAAATTTTAATATTTAAATTTAAATTTGAAATGAGACATGTTTTACTTGAAGTCTATTTGTCCGATTTTATTGCAAAACATTTCAATTAAGGATGAAATTAATGCAAACTGATTTTTTAGCTATAAAATAATAATGCAATTGAAAAAATGATAAAAATAGAATGCATTAATTATCCTTTGACTTTTCTTGTTACTAAATTTAGTAAATATGATGGCTTTTAATATATATATATATATATATATATATATATATATAGTTATTTCTAACAATTATTAGAAATATGCATGATTGGTTCTTAAAAAGAATCTTTTTTTTTCCCAAAACGACAGAGGTAATATATAAAAGCACAAAAGTGCAAAAGGAACAAATTACAAGACCCCAACAGGGTAATTCTACGACCCCAACATGGTAATGAGACAGGGACCAACGGCCCAAACCAAAAATACCCTAAAAACAAACCGGAATAAAAGACTGAGAGGACACGCACATGGCGGCCTAAATAACTCCACGAACTAAAATAAAGGAAAATGAAAAACAGAGCCACTGCACAATGCCTAGCTTGTATCCATCTCCAAACTAAAAAGACCCAAACCAAGAACACAAGACACATACAGAAGACAACAAAGAAACACAAAACTAGAACATAATAAACAAAATAAAATAAACTAAACTATCGGCCCTTCCCCGGCGCACGAGCCAACCCGAACCTGCAGTGAACGATCGACACAAGACAAATTCAGCTTAGGATCTACTACTGAAACTGCAATCAAGCCTATACAGTAGGAGAACCCTAACCCCAAACAAGTCCCCGAATCGACCCATCAATACCCGAGAAAGCCAAATCAACACCACACCGATTCCACCCGAATCTATCTAACACCACTAGACGGAACCGATTGAACCACTCCGGCCGCCTAACACCACTAGGCAAAGCGAGAGAAAGTGCGAAAGAAAGGCTCTCACCCCAGCCGCTGCAACAAGCCGCAGCCACCGGAGTCCCGACCACCCTACGACCAGCACAACGCCCGAACACTCCACCGATAGCCCGACCAGAAACTCCAACTCGTATGAAAGGGCGGAACACCGCCGGAAAGCCAACCCAGCGGCCACAGACAAGAGGGAAAGAGAACATACCATCACCGATCAAAGCAGCGCCGACAACGGAGGAGCTCCACCGCCGAAACCGACCGGGGATAGCGACGTCGCTAGAGCCTCTGACCGCAGAACACAACCACGAGCTAGAGTCCGATCGCGACCCATCGGCGAAATCAGGAACGCTCGCCGTCGACGGAGGTCGGGACAGTCATCGACGACCCCAGGCCCTGACTAACCGACACCGAAGAAGGCTAATTCGCCGGAAATTGGAGGAGCGGATGTAGGGTTTCAGGGGGAAATTTGGGGAAATTGGAGGAGCGTCTTTTTTACTATATCTTTAATTGACAATTATTAATTAAATATCTTATATTGTATTTTAATTTTTTTTTTTAAATATGTATGGTAAGTGTATTTCTTAAATTAAGTGTATTAAGTATGGTAAGTGTATTTCTTAGATTTATTTTGATTTTGCTTCCATATTTTTTATTGTATTCCTAAAAAAAATTGGATAAAAAAGATATGCTAAATTCCATCCGTCGCCTCTTCAATATTCTTGACAGTCGGCCTTCCCCGGTGACTGCTTTGCTCCGGCCAATGGCTGTCTTCAACGGCTCGCATCACTGCTGACTGGCACTCCTCGGTTTTTGCTGCTGGTGGTCGGAGATGGTTGGTCGGTCTGTGGTTCCAGACGGTCGCTCGATCCTAGGCGGAGGATGGTCAGTGATTCGGTCATCGGCAGGCCCTCGGGTGCTCATCGTCGCCATTGCGATCTATTTCTGGTATGCAAACTACGGGTCCCTCCCGTTTGGCTTCGCCTGTTCCGGTGGAGCAGGGGGTGGAGTTCGGCCCCCAGTTGCCGACGGTTCGCGGTGGCGAGGGGTGTGGTCTATTAGTGGGGCGGGGCTTTGGCAGCGTCTTGGTGGGGCGTGTCCTTTACCGTGGTTGCCGAAGTAGCGGATTGCGCCTTTCCCTCCCACCCATGTCGGCTAGTGGTGTTAGGCGGCGGGGGACCGGTTCTCCCGAGCTCGGCTAGTGGTGTTAGACGGGTTCGGGTAGGGCTGGGATAGGGGCTGGTGTTTGTTCGCTCGGTTGGAGTCGGGTCAATTCGGAGATTGGTTCGGGCCTTGGTTTCTTTTACTGTATAAGCTTGATTGCAGTTTCGGTAGCAGTTTCTTGACTTGGATTTGTCTTCCGTCGATCGTATACTGTTGGTTTGGGGCTAGCTCGTTTGCTGGGGAAGGGCTTTTAGTTTATTTAGTTACTATGTTCTTGTTTGTGTTGTAGTATCTGTGTTTGTTTTTGTCTTGTGTTTTTGGTCTAGGCCGTTGGCCTCTGTGCTGATTCCCCCGTGGGGGGCGATCCTATTCTCCCGTGGGGAGCGATCCTAGTTGTGTTGGTGTCTTTTAGTTGTTTGTAGTAGGTTTTTCTATTATAGCGTGGCTAGCGAGGCTCTAGGCGGTCTTTCGATCCGTCCTCCCAGTTTTTAGTTCTTGGTTGTAATATTCAGCCTTGGGCTGCTTTTTTGCACAGTTGTGCGTTTTGATTTATAATACATCTATCGTTTCGGCTAAAAAAAATAAATAAATAGAGATTTTGTTAATTTACTATTTTTGGACAATAATTAATGAAATTGACGGAAAAATATTTCTAAAAATGAATTATGTTAATCTTTATTATATATTAATAGATTATATTTATCCACTTGATTTAATATGTTGAAGAAAAAAGTAACAAATGAGTTGATGATTCTCCATAACTATGAAAACATCAAAATTTAACTTTTACTGAAAATATTGTGTAATTTTGCAAGCAATTAAAGAATGCTGAATGCATAATGAGATTTTCCAACGATTCTCTTAATTTATAGAGTTAGAGAAAAAAATCATTCAAATAAATTCAAAAAATATTTTGACTTGAAATAATTTAAAAAAGATAATATATTTTCTAAATTTTTGTCAATTTAATTGATTATGTAACAATTTTCATATACATAAAAAATAAAACGATTTTAATTTTTTTAGTGTCATAATCACAAGTTTTTTATACAAATCAGAAATTATAATTTATTTGGTATTTTCTTTTATATTGCAAGGTTATTAAAATGCATTGGATTTAAATATGTTAATATATATATATATATATATATATATATATATATATATGTAATTCTCCAATTTATGACCTTTAGCAAAGATCTATTGGTAAATTTATAATTGTTTATATGGAAACTATAGGAGGATTTAGTTGATCTTCCAATAAATAGTTGTATGGTTCTTTTTTTTT